AAATAAGGAAAGGAAAACTAACCGTCTGGGTCAAAGAAGAAGGCCTGTCTTGTCTTCCCGTCTGGTTGAGTCCTCTCGTGTATATCAATTCCCTTCTCCTGATGAAATAAATCAGGGGAAATTTTAATGTAAGACATGATGAAAAAACAAAGATGGTGAAACCGTGATCCTTTATGTCTGAGATAGAAAGTGGCTCTATGATTCAATCTTGTAAATGGTTTTATTTGGCTACATAGAATAATATTATAGCTCTTACTAATACAATCATACACCAATAAGCTAATAGCTCAAAAAAGCAGCCTAACTCAAACTACTGCACATCGACAAGGCACATCCACAAAAGTACAATTAATGATGCACAGCCATATCGAAAAATATCAGATTAACAAGTTGTTTGTACCTGAGGAACATGGGGATAATAATGTAATTAATTCTATATTATCGGAAAAGTAATCACACGATCGCTAACTTAGCCAAGATACAAAATATATAATTATCAAGACCACGAAATATGAATTGTATTAGCATATGCAAGACACCGAAGCACACTCAGTCAGGACACTAAACATATATACTCATCAGTTGTAGACGCTTTTGACGAATTTACAACCAAGCACATAAAATGTGCAGGTACAAAGGTTTGGTTCATTAGCCGATTTGCTGATCACGGAACCATTGTCGATGTATCGTTTTGTTCAAAGAATTAGCAAGTAACTAAAGCAACTTTCACAGCTCTGTAACTTGGCATTTGGTTCCCTTTCAATCACACTTCCAAAGCACAAAACAAAGCAGTAAAATAAGTGAATTTCACAGTAAAATAAGCAGACCTTAAGGGTCTGAACAAAGGAATCGAAATTGGGGACAAAAAAGCAGAGATGGTGTCCCCTGGGGAGGTTCTTGGGGTCGGCCACGGCTGATGCAGAACAACTCGACGGGCCTTCTGGAAGCTTCGTATTAGGGTCCCTTTCAATCAGGTGAAGGTACAGAGACGAACCCAATCTCAGCCATATCACCCCGAAATCGAATTTCGGGCTCTCCACTGCCTCGAAGCCAAAAACCTAACAAATCAAATCAGAGTAAAAAAGAACCTCGACGTATCTATTTTAAGGATTTTCAATCCCATGAGGTAAAAAGGAAAGAATGATAAGATATTTTCTTTACGAGCAGAAATTGAACTGAACCTCGACGTAGAATTTGGCAAGGCGTTCGATGTCAGGTGATTCTCTAGAAACATGATTGAGGGAAGCTCCTTTTGGTGCTGCTGCCGCCATTGTTTCGTCTTTTGGAGATGGACGAAGGTTGTGTGGTCTTCTAGAGAATATCAATCAAAATACTAGTTAAAAAAAGCGTATTGCACGATTGTTAATTTTTTCTTAAAATCTAAATTTAATGAGAAAAAAGTAATTAAAAAATTAAATACCTTTTATAAAAATATATATATTATTATATATTTAGTATGACATTTTTTTATTTGTGCGACTTACATGTGTTATATTATAATAATTTGTTTAACTTACAACATATAACTACATTAAACATAAATATATCAATTGAGAAACAATTTTATTTCTCTAATGAATTTTAGTTAATCTTATTATTTTTTTATTATTTAAAGATAAATATAATTTATTTATTTCATATATACAATATGGATGTCAAATCAAAGATCATTAAAAGATGATTAATTTGATATATTATATATGTAAAATCAATAAGAAATACAAAAGTTATCAACTTTTAAAATACATTTACAATTCAATAGCTAATTCAAGGAAACAAATCAAAAGTTATGAATATATTAGTCACTTATGTAAAATCACAAATAAGTAAAGGGTTATATTAGTAAAAATGATATTAAAATACCTAAGTTAGCTAAATAATATTTATGGAATGTCTCAACCTAGATTATTAATTATTAATATATCAATATTATTTGTCCAAACATAATTACGAAGCATTATTCTTCGCCAAATAGGATTCCGAAGCACCAGAAGCAGCCACGTAGGCTCAGCGCATTCGGGAATTATATATAGGGAGGATCACTCTTCCCTGGCCATTAAAGCTCCCCTACATGACTACATGTTAATATATGCCCCCACCGACTTATGTGGCATGTACAACTTAGTCATGTATTTTTTAGAATATAAGGGATTGACATATTAACATGTGTGACCGTGGGTAGGGGAGCATTATTACCTCCCTCCCTATATATACATGGGAAAATCTATGTTTTGTTCTTAATATAGGATAATTTCATTTTATACATCATTGATATATGATATAGTTTTTATTGTTTTTATTCTTTTAATAACCTCTTGTGTTTATTTTTATTGTATGAGTAGATAACCACTGAGAAAGCGTATTTTTGATCTATTGGAGATCGAGGAGAGATAATTGATTGCTTGAATTGAAAAATTTATAATGTAAGACAATAAACAAACCGAAAGATTGATAGGATTTTACGAGAGAACGAAAAAAAATCCTAGGGTTTTATGGAGTTAGTTGTTCATCTTGAGACCGATAGGGAATAGTTAACAATTAATCTACTATTTAACTTGTTCGAGAGAAATGTTAAATTAATTTAACGATTATCTCTACGATAGGTAAAATTAAATAAGGTTTGAATGAATTTAAACGTGTCATGAATTAATCGCGATGGATGCTTAACTTGGAATCTATATTTCGTATCTTGTTTATTCTATAGTTTATATCAAGTCTTTATTTCTTAGATAAATAAATTATTAGTTTGTAGTCATCATCTAGATTCATTAGTCTATATAATATTTAATCGTCATTATTTTAGTAGTTAATTAATTTAATTACAATCTTTGTGCAATACGACTTTGTTCGCCGCTTGCTAAAGTTACCCCGTACACTTGCGGATAACGAACATAATTTGCAAACAATAACCAATCAGTCTAATCTAGATATACACAAGCTTGCTTGGATATCGCTTAAGAATGTTTCCTGAATCTTTATAGGTATTCAACTAATACCATATATCCTTAAATTGTAGCCATCGAGTTAAAGCTCCATTAGTCCAATTGTACCCGAACTAATCACTCAGACTGACTCACCGAGCTATTTTGCATGTTATATCAACTATATAAGTTTTTGAAATACTAAAATTAATCAAGATTTAACTTTAAAAAATTCTAAAAATTCACTAAAAGTCCTAGTTAAATACACACCACTAGATAAAAACCACAACATGGAAACCTTACCGATAAGAGTCTCTTTTTTTATCAACATAAAATACCATAAACACTCAACCAATCAACCCCACATCTCCATCCACTGTGAACAATCACAAATATCATACTAATCGCAGTACTCTCAATCCCCCTTTTCCTTCTCAAATCGGCGAGGGGTTTAAAGGGATCATCGATTTTGCCGAACCCCATCCAAATCTGGGCTCTTTTGCTTCGATTTTTCTGACAAATTTCTCGTATCAGCTTCTGTGGTAAATTATTATTTTTATCTCGGTTTTCTTTTGTCTTGATTTGTTCTGCGGTTTCAGTGAGATGGATTAGCTCCCTTTTCCTTTAATATGTTTGGTGGAATGAAATCGACACTCCCTTTTGTTGTGTTTTCTTTCTCCGTTATGTTTTCGTGAAACTTGTGTTCGTTGGAAATCTGTGTTGCTAAAGTTTGAATTTTTATTGATGTTAGATTGATTATTTATTGTGCTTCGCTTGCGGGGGTGAACGAAAGGGAAATCGTATGCATTTTACATCACGGACTCATGATTTTAGTTTTGCTAGAGAGGAACTAATCAAACTTGTGCAGTAATGTATACATCTGTTGGATAAGTACAAGGGATAATGCATTTCATGTATGGGATAAAGCATAGTAATTGGAGCGTTATGTTATGTTGGACTATAAAGTTAATGAACAAGTGAATTACAGAGAGATCGAGAGAGCAGCAGGAGAGTTGAAGGAGAAGAAGAAAAAAATTTGTGTTCAGTAGAATGGAAAAAAATTAGGGTTACATGATGTGTTAGTTGAGTGTTTATATCTAGGGTTGCATTGGGCTAAAATAGTAATTTACATTTACAATTGTCGCTTACAACTATATTCCTTTGACAAATGTTTATGCCTTTGTGAGAGTGAGACAAATCGAAACCTTTAGAATATATTTTAATGTGAGCTAAGCTTTTTCCAGTCAAAGTAATATCATCAACATATACTAACATATACTAACAAGGGTAACAAGGCAGTAAAGAAGAATCCGATTGCATGGGAAACAAAGAATAATCAGCAATTGAGTGAAACCATAAGCAATAAAGGAATTGAGTAAGATTATGGAACCATTATCTAGAAGCCTGTTTTAATCCATGAAGGCTTTTAATTAATTAGCAAACTTTATTATCATTATGTTTACCGGAGGATGTTTTATATATACTTGTTCATCTTAATCGCCATGGAAAAATGCACTATTTACATTAAGTTGATGAATTTATGGATGCAAATGCAACAAGGAATCTGACAGTGGTAATTTTGTTGGCAACAGGAGAAAAAGTTTCAAACTGATCTATAACTTCTTCTTGTGTGTACCCTTTAACTACAAAGCTAGCTTTATATTTTTCTACCTTACCATCAAACTTAATATTTTATTTTGGTGTTTGTCCTTAGGTAAAGCTGGTAAAATCCAAGTACAAGTTTGTTCAAAGTTCTTTTCTCGTAGTTGCTTGTCATATAGAATCTTTTGCAGCTTCAGAATAAGGTTTTGGGTTCATTTAAGAGGAAATTAGTGCAGTAAAACATAAATGTATCAATGTGATGCAAACAAAGAATCAATTGACAAATAAGATGAAATAGGATATTTTGATGCTCCAGATGTGCTAACGTTCTAACTTACTGAGTTTGTGTGTGAAGGATGAAGTGAGTGTTGATATATATCAAGGTAGGCAGTTGGTTTAGTTCTTCTTGTTGATCTTCTTTTTGGGTGGAGAGTAGTGAGTTGTTATGTTTGTTTCAAGCTGTGATGGGGAAGATTCTGAAGAGTTGATGGGAGAATTT